GTTTAGTATCTTCTTTCTGAGAAAGTTATTTTTTTTTCCGTCTGGTAACCGGTAATCCGTCCCTTAGACAGATAATCCCCTTTGCAGCGTAGAGATTAGAATATTACTGGATGATATATACAGAACAGAAATACTTCAGGCGAATTAAAATAAAAAAAAAGACACGGCTGAGAATACCCGAAAATAACATTTATATGTAATACATACAAAGTGGAGATACCAAAATCAAACAAGTACAACAATTTGAATATTGGGGAAAGTGTTTTAACGGAGGACGGAAAGTGCGACACTGATATCCAAAGTAATATTGGGATAGGGAAAGATGACTTCCAAGTGTTTAGGAAAGTTTCGTTAGAAACAAAGAAATGGTTACTGAACTGTGACGTCATATCCGTTCTTCTATATGACAAAGAATGCTGCAAAAATCTTCTCACGGATAAAAAAGAGACAAAGAAACACCTGTCTGTCTCAGTCTTTTCCTATCTATCTATCTATCTATCTATCTATCTATCTATCTATCTATCTATCTATCTATCTATCTATCTCAGTCTTTTCCTATCTATCTATCTATCTATCTATCTATCTATCTATCTATCTATCTATCTATCTATCTATCTATCTATCTCAGTCTTTTCCTATCTATCTATCTATCTATCTATCTATCTATCTATCTATCTATCTATCTATCTCAGTCTTTTCCTATCTATCTATCTCAGTTTTTTCCTATCTATCTATCTATCTATCTATCTATCTATCTATCTATCTATCTATCTATCTATCCCAGGCTGTTCATATCTGTACATCTCTGCATTCTAGTCACTGAGAACGTGAGCTGTCTTTCATTGACTATTTACATTGTGAAACTTTTTTTACTTTTTAGATAGTCTCGGCGTTAAGCAACTTAATTTACTGCCTCGTTAAGTGTTTTTCTTTTAGTCTTATGCGTTTGTATGAGTGCGTGAGTGCGTGTGTGCGACACTGATATCTGAAATGGTATTGAGATAGCGAGAGATGCCTTCCAAAAGTATTAAGGAACAGGAAACTTTCGTTAGAAACAAAGAAAAGTTTACTGAACTGTGACGTCATGTCCGTCCTCCTATATAGCAGAGACTGCTGAAAAATCTTCTCACGAATGAAAAAGAGACTTGAAGCAACAGGTATGTGGCGCTACAGAACGATGCTGAGCATACCATGGACTAAATATCGAGGAAATGCGAAGTTTTAAAGAAAATGGGAAAAAAGGACACTATATATTTAACACCAGGAAAAAAAAAGAAATTTATAGGGTACATAATGAGGAAATAATGTTTTGGAAATTTAGATACCCACACGACAAATTGAAGACAAAGGGTAAAGAGGAAAGCAACGTATAACCTACCTAGCGAGATTGAGTAAATGGAACAAGGTTTAAGAGAGATAATAAAAAGACAAAATTTATTTAGAGCTACAAAGGATAGGATATTGTGGAGAGCCAAAACCAACAACACACTAAAAGTACATGGTACATAGAAGAAGAAAAAGAAGAAGAAAAAGAAGAAAAGAAGAAGAAAAAGAAAAAGAAGAAGAAGAAAAAGAAGAAGAAGCAGAAGAAGAAGAAAAAGAAGAAGAAGAAGAAGAAGAAAAAGAAGAAGAAGAAGAAAAAGAAGAAGAAAAGAAGAAGAAAAGAAGAAGAAGAAGAAGAAGAAAAGAAGAAGAAGAAGAAGAAAAAGAAGAAGAAAAGAAGAAGAAGAAGAAAAAGAAGAAGAAGCAGAAGAAGAAGAAGAAGAAAAAGAAGAAGAAAAAGAAAAAGAAGAAGCAGAAGAAGAAAAGAAGAAAAAGAAGAAAAAGAAGCAGCAGCAGAAGAAGCAGAAGAAGAAGAAGAAGAAGAAGAAGCAGAAGAAGAAAAAGAAGAAGAAGAAGAAGAAGAAAAAGAAGAAGAAGAAGAAGAAGAAGAAGAAGAAGAAGAAGAAGAAGAAGAAAAGAAGAAGAAGAAGAAGAAAAAGAAGAAGCAGAAGAAGAAAAGAAGAAAAAGAAGCAGCAGAAGAAGAAGAAGACGAAAAAGAAGAAGAAAAAGAAAAAGAAGAAGCAGAAGAAGAAAAGAAGAAAAAGAAGAAGAAAAAGAAGCAGCAGCAGAAGAAGAAGAAGAAGAAGAAGACGAAAAAGAAGAAGAAAAAGAAAAAGAAGAAGCAGAAGAAGAAAAAGAAGAAGCAGAAGAAGAAGAAAAAGAAGAAGAAGAAGAAGAAGAAGAAGAAGAAGAAGAAGAAGAAGAAATATTATATATACATATTATGTGATTTAAATTTGCTTTCAAGCTATGAGACGTGGGCTTGAATGTTATCATGCTCGATTTCTCAGCGAGGTGAATTTTTGATATTATCCTCCTCGGGAGTCGAACCTAGTGTATGGCACCTTTGGAAAGTGCCCTAAAACCATGTCACGGGTAAACCCGATCTTTGTGAGTGGAATTTGGTATGCTAAACCGTTCGGAAGCTTGTGCTAGTAGAAAGTCACAAGTCATCGTGTGCCGGCCTTGTTACCCCCCCCCCGCAAAAAAAAAAACAAAAAAAAAAACAAACCATCACACCATGCGCTCTCTCAGAAACTGTTGAAATAGTTTCATAGTTGCGGTATAAACCGCCTGTAGACTCTGTTGGCAGAGCCGGCGTCTGCAATAGGTATTTGCTAGCTGCCATTGTAGACGGGCGTGCTAGGTAACGAATAGACACCAAGCCGTATATATGTAATATCTCAACATTTATCTGATACGCATATACTCAGATATTTAAAGAAATATTTTATCAGTAATCAATATTTCCTTTTTATTTTGAGTAGTCATTGATCGTAAGAATCTTCAGTTCTTTTTTCTTGTGGCTAAGCTATATGTAAACTCAATTCTTGTGCAGTTGCATACTTGAAATCATTAAAAGATAATTTCGGCACTGTCTACCTATAATGGTTAATGGAACTATGTAAAGAAATTGCTAAAACCATTCCATATGAAAACAGTTCCATAAAACGAATTAGGCAATTAACGATGTGGTATCCCAAAAACTAACCCACACGTTGCAAAATAAAAACAGTTAAGAGATTATATTAAGTAAGTGTAATTTTAATATATTACTAGCAGCATGGCCCGAAGTTGCCCGTGCTTGATTCAAAAATCGTACGACTCATACAGCAATCTCTATCACTTGACATTAAATCTGTTACGAAAAAAAGAACTAAACAAAATGAAACCAAAACGATCAGCTTTAAAAAGGACTCGCAACTGGAAAAACTCAATGAAAAAAGAATGTTAACAACAAATACTTTTTCACACCCAACCCAGGTCAATAGAATCTTCCTGCCTATTCGTGACAGCCAGCTATTGGCTCTCACCATAGCCAGTACAAAATGGCCGCAAACTACATGAAAAAAGAAGGCAACAAGAATGCGGTTGTATTATGATATGGCTTCGAATTTTCGACCAAACAACGATTGGACTATTCAAATGAAGGAGTTAAATTTAACATTGCTAACTATTGCGATTTTACGAACGAGAATTTCTTTGCATGGTACAAGTCCAAGTTTCGAAGTTTCAAAGTGAAGTGTGTATTTATGCACGAAAATGCTCCGTCTCATTCTTTGGACATAAAAGATTTACTGGAGAGAAGATAATGGAATGGCATGCTAATTAACATTTGTGTCAGTCAGCTGTTGGCTCTCACGCTGGTCAATAGAATCTTCCTGCCTATTCGTGGCAGCCAGCTATTGGCTCTCACCATGGCCAGTACAAAATGGCCGCAAACTACATGAAAACTGGCGTAGAAGCATGAAAAATCGATTATTTCCACTATCGATGGAGTTGGGAAATGCAAAGTCGGTCTTGGCCTTCCCGCTAACTTGGAGCATGTGCATTTAAATTTTGGTACAAATCCGTCGAAAGTTGCGGCCGTGCATTCGTTACACACACACACACACACACACACACACACACACACACACACACACACACACACACACACACACCCTGCCTTTTATAGATAGAGATTATTTTTTATAATTAGAAAATTATTTTTGATTATTCTTCGTGCGTCAATTCAGATAAAATGATCTCTTTCACTTTCTTGACATTATAAAAGAATCCGGCAAAACAGTTTTTAAATAAAGTCTGATCCTATCTATCTATCTATCTATCTATCTATCTATCTATCTATGTTGATCTTCATATGACTTTCTTCAGATATCTATCTATCCCATTCTCTTCATATCTATCTATCTATCTATCTATCTATCTATCTATCTATCTATCTATCTATCTCAGTCTATTCATATCTGTCTCTCAATCTATTTATCTTAGTTTGTTCATATCTATCTATCTATCTATCTATCTATCTATCTATCTATCTATCTATCTATCTATCTAGTCATATCTATCTATCTATCTATCTATCTATCTATCTATCTATCTATCTATCTATCTATCTATGTTGATCTTCATATGACTTTCTTCACATATCTATTTATCTATCTATCTTTTTAAAAATATTATATATTTACAAGGGATGAGTGCTCAATATATAATAATATTATATTGGAGATGAATTGTTTCCCACCCTACAACCACTTTCCCACTGACGAAACCTCGCAAGCTTGAACTCTATCGCTATTTCTATGTAAAAATGTTCAGAGGAGCTACATACTTTAGTTCCACTAAATCTCACAGCTATAACCTGCCATGCAACGTAGACTAAGGTGAACCAACCTCATTCCCTTCGTGTTCCATTAGTCAGGAGGAAGTTCTATTCGAACAGCTTCTTCCCACGAACCGCTACTTTGAGTAATAGACTTCAAGAGGAGGATTTCCAGATCATTTTAATCTTAAATTCTTCAAGCCTTAACCATTATATTTCCCACTTAATCCCATAGACTGCGCCTCTTACCTTATATTCTTTCTACTCATACAACCGTCTTCATTAACCCTCTACCTTGAGCGTCTCCTGGGCCTTGTATAGGATGAACATACAATACCTAATCTCTTATTGCGGTCATATCACGCTGAAACACCGGTTCACATACGATCACCGAAGTTAAGCAACGTAGAGCTTGGTTAATACATAGATTAGTGACCGCTTGGGACTACCTGGTGCTGTAAACTTGGATGTAATGGATAATAGTACGAAATTTTTAATCGGAGAGCCGAGTTTTAATTTCCGTCGGGTGCATTATATTCACTTATGTGCAACTAGCTTTGAAAAAAGGTATGATTCCATCTCTTCCCTCCAAGCTAAGGGTCAATTAGTACGACTTCTATCAGTTAACCATTATTATCTAAAAAAAATCTTATTGTCTAAAAATATTTTCTGGCTTTAAATAACCTGCAAAAGGTTTATGAGTCGTAGAAAACTAATCGAGGAATGAAATACTGGTTAGCCACACAAACATGTCTTCGAGATTTATTTACATTCTGTGGAATATAAATATATAGCAACTAAATTGCTCATAAAGTGAGGGATCAGTTTATATATTGATTATAATATAGAATTGATCCCCCATTTTATATCCATATTATAATTTCTTATAGACATGTTTTGTAGATTTATTGACATTCTCTGGAATATGCAAAAACTACCGTGGTCAGAAAATGAGGGATCAGTTTATATGTAATGTTTTGTGTAATATAGAATTGGTTCCCCACATTATATCAAATTCTCATTGGGTATGAATCCACCTCTTCTTCCCCAGCCATGGGTTAATTAGTAAGACTTCTATCACTAGGTATTTACTCTGTCTCCCCACTAAGACGAGTTGTGACGCAAGGTCAGTCTTTTAGGTGATGACCCCGGCGCGTACACCCGGGTAGGAAAAAAAATCCCGCGCAGCCCGCGGTTGTGCTTCCCTCGGGGCGAGCACCGATCCCTCACTCTGGTGCAATGAGAGGGCGCATCCTCAGCCAGCTGTTCCCCAGGGATGGGCACCTCTTCAGTATAATTTTCCTCAGTCGCCCCTGAGTGCACTCTGCCCAAAGACAGAGACGCAACTGAGAGCTGATAAATAATGTGTTACAAACCAGTCGAGAGAGCGATTTACGCACTAAATGATATTTTAAGTGCAGTTTAGATGTGGCACAAGACGGAATGTATGGGGCCGCCTAGTGAGGATCGAACACACTACTCAGTCTTAATTGTTCTAGCGAGACAAGCTCACTAACCATTACACCACCTCGAAGTGCCTAAATGATTTTCTAAGCGTAGCTTAGATACGGCACACGGCCGAGACTGTGGAGCACCCAGTGAGGATCGAACTCACTATTCAGTCGTAAGTGTTTTAGCGAGACAAGCTTGCTAACCATTACACCACGCCGAGGTGTCCAAAGACTTATTATCTCCCCAGAAATCATAATAATCTCACAATCCAAGAATATTTTCTAGCTTTAAATAAAGTAAAAGGGTTGATAAACCGTAGAAAATAAACAGTCAAGCCTCTATGGCAGTGAATGTTGAATGATTTCTTGACAGATAATGAAGTGACTTGAAGCTGAAGATGTGCGGTTCTCCTAACGAATGTGAAGAAGACAATAAATAGAAAATAAGAGCAACGTGGAAGTCTGAAGGAACAGAGAAACTGCAAAAAAAAAAAAGAAAAAGAAAAGATGTCCTTACAATCAGAAAAGACAAAGAGAAAAGAGGATTAGAGTATTTAACACTCACAAGATATATTAAAATGAAATCGCCGAGTATTCTACTTAAAGTATATGTGTGAATGGATTTTAAAACAGTGGCTAAGAAGAATGGTAAAAGGGTAAAAGTTGCCTAGTAAGATAAAAATAAGGACGCTGTGGAGAGCCATGATCGCACAGGTCTTGAAATGAAATTACCTAAAATTTAGAAGAAGAGGCAAATCGACCTTAAGTATTGAGTCTTTGCGAAATCTGGGTGTTGTACCTGTTAGTGATGTCTTAAGCCTAAGATGGACGTTATTGGCTAGTAAGGTCAAGTTATCATTTGCGCACTGCTCAAACAATTTGCTGGATGTAAATATGAGGTCAGATTGAGTCGAGGGTAAATAGATTAACTTGATCGGCTCTGACAAAGCTGACGTTAAGTCGAACGCAGGATGAGTCTTTTTGTGAGTTCACATTGGGGAAGTGGTTCGTGGAAGTGGGTGCCTGTGTGACGATTTGCAATCTCCGGTGTTAGATTATTTTAGAGGGTCGAGTAACCTTTCGAGTAAAGATTAATGAATAATGAAAAAAGATGCAGAAAAGAAAGCAATGAGATATCGGCTTAGAGTTTATGTAACACTTGATTATCTATCTATCTATCTATCTATCTATCTATCTATCTATCTATCTATATATATATATCTATCTATCTCAGTTTGTTCCGATTTATCTATCCACGTTGATCATCAGATGCCTTTGTCCCTATATATGTTTCATTACGTATATACTTTGTTCTTATCTACGTTGATCTTATGACTTTCTTCATATATATATTTTCCTATCTATCTATCTATCTATCTATCTATCTATCTATCTATCTATGTTGATCTTCATATGACTATCTTCACATATCTCTCTATCTTGACTTCATATGACTTTCTTCACATATCTATCTATCTATCTATCTATCTATCTATCTATCTATCTATCTATCTATCTATCTACATTAATCTTCCTGATTTTCTTCATATATATATTTTCCTATCTATCTATCTATCTATCTATCTATCTATCTATCTATCTATCTATCTATCTATCTCAGTTTGTTTCTATTTATCTAGCTACGTTGATCATCAGATGCCTTTGTTACTATATATCTGTTTTATTCCATGTCTTTCTTTACTATCTATATATATATTTTCTTCATATATCTATCTATCTATCTATCTATCTATCTATCTATCTATCTATCTATCTATCTATCTACATTGTTTGACTTTTTCATATATATATTTTCTATCTATCTATCTATGATCATCTATCTATCTATCTATCTGTTTGTTTCTATTTATCTAGCTACGTTGATCATCAGATGCCTTTGTTCCTATATATCTGTTTCATTACGTATGTCTTTCTGTTACTATCTATCTATCTATCTATCTATCTATCTATCTATCTATCTATTCACCAACCTACACGCTTGACCTTTGATACAGACGTAAGCTAAAGGAACATAATTTCGCATCTTTTATCTCAAACTGAAATTCACTTCCTACCCTTGTTAATCATTGAAAACCATTTTAATCTGCCAAGAATTGCTGCAGGCTAAAACAGAATTTGTACCTAAGTCAAAGATTTGCTTCATGGCCTTTGACTGACATTTGCTATGAAGAAAGGACTCCCTCCGTCAATCGCAAAGCACATTGAAAACTAATCCACTCTGGTCTGTTTGTACTTGAGACAAACTTCAGCAAACTTGATCTCTTTCACATAATGCCTTTCTGTATTTGTTTCTGTGTACGTCATGCGGTATGAACAGTTTTTACTGCGCCAACAAATGCGAATTATCACAGTTTCCTCACGTGGGTTGCTCTTTTTTAATACCTTATTTATCTGTTTTTAATGTGGACTCATCTACAATACGTACCCATAATTTTGGACTAAAGGATTTTAGAAAATATCTCGCGTATATAATATTCATTGTCCTGTAGAAACAAAAATATTCTAAATTTAATATTTGTTCTACTTTATAATTGTTTTTGACTAAAATTAAAAACAAAAATTAAATATATTACAATAGATTGGGCAACGCAATTTAGATAGTATCTAACGTAAAAATGTATCGCCAATATCTATGAGAATCTGCAATGTTATTGGTTCTGACCTGGCATCTCGCCTTCAATTACTTTCCCACCGCCGTAATGTAGCTTCCCTGTTGCTTTTCTATAACTACTTTCATGGAAATTGTTTTCATGAACTTTCTTTTATGCTAGAGACCTGGAGGCATTATGGTGACTGTATTAAGAATGGTAAGTAAAAATATGGTGTTTTGGTGTAAGGAATATTGAGCTATGTTTGGGTCAGTAATTGTGGTTGACTATGTTTAATTATAAGATAGATAAAACCAGCCTTCATCACTAACCTTTGGGCCTTGTGCTAGGTTTTTGATTTTTACAAAATAAATATTACTTTCCTCTGTGATATCTAGATTGCTGAATAGATACATAGTGCAATAGATTTGCGGCAAGTTTTCATCATTTTACTGTTGAAATTGCTATATGTAAGCATAACGTCTATGCTACTAGCTTCATCTCTCGCACTTCTCTACTGGGGAACTCTCTTCCGTCTTCTTTCTTCCCAGCAAACTTTCAACTTCAAAAATTTAAATGTTATGTTAAATGGTTATCTTTTGTCTATTCTTATTCTTTTGTTATTCTTTCTCTTTAATAGTATTTTTTCATAAACTCTCTAACATTCAGTAACCCATTGCAACTTAGTGGGTTTATTGCCTTGATTGGGGTGAAATGATTAACAAAACAAAAAAAAAGCTAGCACCAAGGCCTAAAACTTTTTAAGCAAGAACACATTCTAGGGACACTTCATCTGCTGGAGCATGAAACAATAAAAGACATTCTAGAAAAAATGCGTTCGTGTAGAATGTGCAATGATTCACTAAAAATATATATTTATGTATCTTACATTCTATTTTGAAACACTAGGCTTACAAAGAATTTAAAGTTTTGAACAATGTGAAAATTTAAAGTTTTAAATTTCGAAGCATAGACATTACAAAGAATTTAAATTTTTGGACAAAGTCTGAATTTAAAGTTTTAGATTTTGAAGCACAAAGGTTACAAAGAATTGAAAGTTTTGGACAATGTCAAAATTTAAGGTTTTAAATTTCGAAACACAAAGATTACAAAGAATTTAAAGCTTTAGACAATGTCATGGAATTATGCACCATTCCGACGAAAACAAACTCACTTTAGGAGGCATTAAATTATGAGCAAGTATCCATTCTAAGGTCCATTTCTCTTTAACAGCGTGAAGCAGAAGTGAATATTTCTATGATATCTGTGCGATTTCTAGTGCATAACCTTAGCATAGATATGGCACAAGACTGCTATAATTGTGCGAATCAAACCCACTATTCCGTTGCGAGATTTCTTGCCATCACACGACGAAGTGTGCTCCGCGCACAATATATAAAAGGACAAAGAGATATATATAATTTAACGATAAAGCCGTGCTGTTTAGTATAAGGTGGTGAGAAAAATTGTGTCCGTTGACTGAGAAATGGATGACTTTGCTTGTTGTCCAGATGTGCATCAGGACCTAGGGTGCGTAATCATTGCTGGGAGGTGCTCAGTAGGTAAACTCGTTGATAATATGGAAAGAGGAATCGTTGAACCGGCTGAGGTATTCTATGTTCTGTTCGCATTAGCCCTATCCCGTTCAAAAATGGATTAACCCTATTCTTTCAATACTTTCGCCACATTTGCCTAATGATGAAAAACACCTACTTTTTAAACCGAGTATGCGCGCTGACCGTGATATGCTGATCACAATTTGAGTCCCGCAGGCCAATTTGCAAGTTTAATGAATTGCATCTGCCCTCAGCGCATACTAACTGACCTTGTACTGTTATGTGCTTATTATGTAATTCTAGAGAATCTGGTTTGCATAATTGGATCAACAAATTGCCTAAAATTAGCGTATAAGTTTAGTGTGCATTAATCTGGATTCAACATAAACGGCAATTAAAATGATATATTAAAACTTGCTTTGTTGAAATGAAAGGTTTGGAAAACTTGTCTTCTTCACAAGTTGAAAAAGTTATGTAGTCTCCGGTTATTTTCAAATCGTGAAATGAAAGTTATCCTGAACGCCCACTCTTCTAGATCCTTTTCTACTAATGCAGGTGTTCCCCAGGGTTCTATATTTGGTCCTGCTTTGTTTTTAATATTCATTAATCACCTTCCTGATGACATCACCACATAGTTTGGTAGCTATGCTGACGACACAAACATTTACTCCTGTCTCGATACTAAATCTGATCAGTTCGATATGGTCAAATTGGCGGCAGATTAAAGAAAACGACCTAGTATTTTGTTAACTGGGGCAAATAATGGCTTTTTTTAAAACAATTCTAAATCAAAGCTGATCTCTATTAATCATCTGATAGACTCCTTTCTTCCTGATGGTAAAATGCAATATTGTGTTAAGTTTTAGTAACTCAAATGCACTTCAATATGTTGCTGCTACACTCGTATAAAATTTTGTTCAGTGTTGGTTGCTGGCTTTTGAAAGAGACGGCCTCGAGAATTTGAAGTTTTGTTTATTATTTTCGTGGTGTAGTATACCGGTGTTGTCAACAAGTATTTTCCTGTATTGTGAAGGTAGACAATAGTCTATTATGTTATAAAACTTCTATCCGAGAAATGGAGTGTGAAAATGTCTTGATAATATTGTAGATCTCAAGCCATCTGTTGTTACCCTACTTTTACTGTGAACGCTTAATTACAAAACACCGTAACCACAATGGTTAAATTCAAAATAACTATAACATGGCGTATTCACGCGAGTTTACAAAAATGACTGTCACAACGATTACAGTTATATTAATTTTTTTCTTGGCAATTGCCCCTTGAGGATGATCTCAGAGGAGAACGAAATTACTTAGGTTAACAAAAAACAAGAGGTCTTCCTTATTGATGAATTTAGACTCAACATCAAGAAAATAATTAGAGAAATAGGATGATTATAAAAATAAATGGACATAATATATCTTTAATATTTAATGAAACAGTCTCGCATATATATATATATATATATATATATATATATATATATATATATATATATATATATATATATATATCGGGTGTAACAGCAAAATTGTCAAAATCATCTAATACCAAAATTGTCCAATTATTATATTAAGCTTCGAACCGTTGTATCTTCGGTATGATTAAAGATATCCTACGGGAATTCTCCGTAGTTTTTATAACACTATTGGACGCTACTTTGAACAATAAGAATGTATTTTGGATCTAAGGTGAAATGATATTCCCTCTTGCTCTTGTGAACTCCTGATCCAGGTTTCCTCTCTACCTTTCGTTCTTTTTTAAATTTATTCACCGTTCTGTTGACATTTCTTGAATGGACTTTGTAGGTGGAAGCCAGAGTATGAATGTTGCTCCCATTACTGAAGGCCTGGATGATCATTTTCGTCTCACCATTGCTCAGTTGAGAAGACATAGTGGGGCTGACACAAAACGATTTTAATCTGTTCTCTTTCTAGCTGAATAAGTGAAAAGGTTTTTCAGTGATTTATACGATAAATGGTGTCCCGATGGCTAACCGTCTAACCTAATCTGAAATCATGGAAAAAGAAACTCCATTAGGTTAGTGTTTTTTTTTTTTTTAGATTTTAAGCATTTTGTGGGATGGAAAATTATCCCATGTTGTTACACGATTTGGACAGTTTTGCTCTTATACGCGGTATCCGGCCCGCAAAGGATTTTTGTCCGGCCCGCCAACTAACACTTGGACACTAATTATCTCAAATTAATTAACGGGGGAAGTGGGAGAAAATCATCAGTTGGAGATAATAAAATTAGAATGAGATGATGTTTTGAAATCAAGCTTTAATTCCGACTTCTACAAAAATATATATTTTGCCAAGCAGAAAATATAATATCCATTTGAATAATACAAATATGGTGGTATCATTCTTTGGATCTAAAGATGCTAAAGATCATTTTTTTTTTTCAAAAATGAAACCTAATAAAAGTCGTTTAAGAACAATGTTGGGTGATGGCCACCAGGATAACATCCTTGACAAATATTTCACTTGATATAGAGGAGTTATCGAACGATAAGCAGCAGCAGCACGTATCTCATTAAGTACAGGTAGTCTGAAGTTATTATGCAAATCAAATAAACCTGAATAACTCGAAAAGTTCTGAAAAAATATTTGTCAAATTTAAACTCGTCTATTTCCACTCTTAGTTTTTGAGATTTTTGCTACTTACGAAAATGGGTTGACTGAAGTTCGTATGAAAATTAAACTAATATCGGCTTAAGGCTTCTGAAATTTAATAAAACTATTTTTCTTTTACTCTATAATATATGTTGATCATAAGTAAAGTGAAGGATTTAAGAAGTGCTGAAAAACAGAAAATAACAAAATTATGAGTGAGGAAATGTCTAAGTTGGAGATATCAAAAAAGGTTTGCAGAGTTCATCGACCGATAAAGAAGGCTGTTGAAAATATACCTTAGTAGAGACCTCGATGCAAAGGAAAACATTTTAAGAATTTGCTTCCCCCTTATGAACGTAAATTAAAACCAGTTATAGCGAAATAACCAGCGCTCAGATCTTTGAAAAGGCTGCAATTGAGGAAGACATGAAGGACAAAAGGTGTAGAATACTTTGTGAATTGCGATCTAAAGATAATTCCTAGGCAACCTCCTCTGATTAAAGCAAATACTTTAAAGTGTCAGAATTGACTTTTCTAAAGTAATTTATTTCGGAAGAATCTCGAGTGATATTTGATAGACCTGATGGATGGACCAAAGGATGGATTTTGCTCAATTCAGACGTGCTTTTTACAAGAATGCAGTTGTATTATGAATTTCGAATTTTGACCAAACAACGATGGACTATCGAAATGAAAGTTAAATTGAACCTAAAGATTTTACGAACGAGAATTTCTTTTCAAAATGAAGTGTGCATTTATGCACGAAAATGCTCCATCTCATTCTTTGAAAATAAAAGATTTACTGGAGAGAAGATAATGGAATGGACACCATCAAGTCCTGATCTGAATCCGATCGAAAATATATGGTCAATTGTGAAGGTGAAATTATATGAAGATGGCAAACAATATAACAGCAATCAGACCTATTAGAAGCAATTAAAACTAACATATCGGAAATTGAACGTGCTGAAGTAAAACAACAAAATCAATGGATAATACATTACTGGCTTTTATTCAGATGACGGGTCACTATATTAAAATTTAAAGGATTCAAAAACATATCGTATGTATTTGTCATTTGTTCTATTACAGGTGTTGATCAATTTTTGATGATCTTATTACCTTTTTATTGAAGTAAAATATGATAATTTTGTTTGCCGAATAATTTCAGGTGACAGTTTTTTTTAGAATACCTCAAATAACTTCAATAAAACATATCGATATAACTTAAAATCTTAACCCAGGCTTAAATTTGAGATCTAAACTGATTGTTTAAAATTTGGCTTTTTTTTCAAACCATATTTAAAGAGTTTATATGATTTGCTTAATAACTTCAAATAGGATATTAGTCTTCATTTCTAACTTTATTTAATTTGTAGTAAAGAATTTGCATTTTTTGTTAATTGTGTTAGATGCTATCCTGTTATTTCTGCAGTAAAATAAGGAAGCTTGTTTAGATAATATAACATTAAATTCCTTTTTTTTTTTCTTTAAACGTCCAGACTAAGGTAGCCTTCTGGACAGAGCGGTCTGTGTTCGAGAATACTTATAGTAACCTTTGATATCATGGCCTTCCTCCGACACAATACATAGATGTATGACCCGCTCTTTCCAAAAGGTTGCCGACATCTGAACTAGAGCAACAATATTTCGTGAATGAAGAACAAATTAAAAATACTTATCTATTGGACTTGAATATTCGCAGATATAACGCTTACAAGCGTCAGATAAACATATTTTATTGATTTCACAGATATACACCGATATTGACGTGCGCTGTATCTGCAAAACCTGAAAGCTTTGAACTTTTAAGACCCACTATCTCTCTCTCTCTCTCTCTCTCTCTCACACACACACACACACACACACACACACACATATATATATATATATATATATATATATATTCATACAAGTGAAATGTTTGATGTTACCTTCAGTATCCAAACACCAGAGTTTGGTAGACGGAACCCCTAGGAATCATTCCATCCACTCGTCAGGATTGATTGCTTATACTTCTGGATTTTTCTTTTTTTATATACACTTTTCATTGGCGCAAGTGTTTGCATACTGTTTTCCATACTGTATGCGTGCGTGTGTCCGTGTGCGCGCGCGCGTGCAATTATGCGCCCGCCTGCGCAGATGTACGTACGTGTAGAATGTTGTTTTCTCTCGTTTTCTCATTTTCCGCTTTTCTTTCAATTGTAGCCATTTTGATTTCCGGTTTTCTTGACATATACTGTCGTTAAAAAAATATTGTTTTAAGATTTGCTATATTTATAAATTAAAGGGGCTATGTAAACATAAAAGTCGTCACTGAAGTCAACATCTAGCGGCAAAAGTCGGTTTCATGCTTAAGTACAAACGTCAGGCCATGTATATATATATATATATATATATATATATATATATATATATATATATATTAAGCAAAAGATATGCATTAAAACCTAAGAAAAGATTTAAGGACTTTGTAAAATGTTGCCTGTGGCAATCCATCATATTGGTAAATCAATGGGAAACAATGGCACTGGATAGAAATCAGTGGCGCAAACTGATTCATGATGGTATAGAATCCTTTGAATATAGCCGTGATCAGTATGCCGTTTTCAAATGATCAGTTCGTAAGGGCGAACAAGGTCCAGCGCTAGGTCAACAAGATCACCGCGTCAACTGTGACATATGCGGAAAACTCTGTGTTTCACTTGCGGGTCTTAAAATCCATTTGTGCGAACATGTCCAACCTGCTTTTCCGCAAAATAACATTCATGAACATTCGTGAACTAAAACGATCAAAACGTAAGAGATGGTCACACTCGAAAATCGAGACAACACACACCGCCATATATCATTAAAAACAATAGTCATTTTGCGTCGATTAAATTTACTGATTGTCATTTCAAATTACGAATAATTCTCAGACAAGGAAGATATTCTGTCAAAGATTTCGAGGGAATTTCTTCTTTGCTTTTAATAATATTTGACTTAAAAAAAATATTATCTAAATTTATATATATATATATATATATATATATATATATATATATATATATATATATATATATATATATATATATATATATATATATATATATATATATATATATATATATATATATATATATATATATATATATATATATATATATATATATATATATATATATATATATATATATATATATATATATATATATATATATATATATATATATATATATATATATATATATATATATATATATATATCTATATATATATATATATATATATATATATATATATATATATATATATATATATATATATATATATTGTGCAATGGATTACGTCTCGGATTGAGGAATCGGTGACCTGAGTTCGAATTCCAGTTCATGACATTCTCTTACATGCTAATACTCTTAGGAAAGATATGACTCCATCTCTTATCCCCCCGAGCTATGCTTAAATAGCGGGGCAGACTGGGTTCTATAGCCATGGCTGGCAGCCGGTCTAGGAGAAGGAAAACTCTGAATTCAAAACTCTATGTAGCTCTGGCGAAGCATATGCTATGCAGTTAAGGAAAGTACCAGTCTAATTGATTCGATGATTCCTTCCTTCCTCTCTCTCTCTCTTTCTGTGTGTGTGTGTGTGTTGAGCTTAGAACATGGCAGCTGGGCATAGGAAAATTATATTGTAACAATTTCTCATATGAAGTAATTGCCTGTAGGTAACATAAGCATTGATTATCCTGTCAATCAAACAATATCTGTTTTTTTTTGTTTCCTATCCTTTCAGGTTGGAGAATGGTCTGATATCCATGGATTGACGACACAAATGTACCGCCCGCCAATACACGATAATTTTCCTCCGGCGGAAAACGAAACCAAAATAATGTCAACCATTGATGTAAGTAAAATTTTTATCTTTTTTTCTAATTTTGATCACATGTCCTTCAATGTGGTAAGTTTTCGTGATCTTTCAAAAAGAAACTGAATTTTTTATCTTCATTAATTGATTCGAAACAACGAAAAGATTACTGAGCTTTTACGTAATATCCATCCCCCTATATGTCAGAGAATGCTGGACAATCTCCTTACAGTCGAAGAGGAGACTTGAATCAGCAGAAATGCCGTTCTACAGAAGGATGCTGAGAATAACATGGATTGAAATTTTTAACACTGACCAAGTTTTAAAGAAAATGGAAACTTAGAATTAACAATGGGAAGGGACTGTAAAAACTTCTAAGGCACATAATGAGGAAAGAGGGCTTGGGAAATTTAACACTCAAGTGACGGTCAAGAGGGACAGAGGAAAGCAGTGCATAACCTACTTAATGAGTTTCTGTAAATGGCTGGCAGAACAGGTTTTAAAAAAAGATACAATTTATTAAGTGCTACAAAGAACAGTAAATTATGAAAAGATATGACCGCCATTGTTCAGAAAAGATACGGAGAAGGAGAAAATACTTGCGAGCTCCGACGAAGCTTTAGAGAAAATGGAGACAGAAGGGCACTTATATGAATGTGAAGAATTCAGTTGAATATTTTCGGGAAAATAATGAGGAAAGAAAACTTAGAATATTTGACACTCACGGGACAGATGAAAGCCGCGCGTAATCTACTTAACGAGCTTTTGTAAATGGCTGGTAAAAATGTTTTAGGAGAGAGTAAAAGAAAAAAAAAGAAATACTACTAAGAGCTACAAACGACAGGATTTTGTGGAGATCCAATTATCAGCAAGGCCCTAAAAGAACGGAAAAAGAAGTGATGAGTGATGCAATTACCTAAGACAAAGGAAGATGACAACTAATTCATATCATAAATCGTAGAGTGATTTTCAAAGCGTAGCGTGGATGTGGTACAAGGTCGAAAATAAGGGGCACCCCGTGAGAATCAAAATCACTACGAGACAAGCTTGCTAACCATTACGCCACCTCGAGGTGCCCAAAAAATGATTTTCTAAGCGTAGCTTAGGTGTGGCATAAGGCCAAATATATGAAGCACCTAGTGAGGATCGAACTCACTTTTGCCGTAACTGATCTAGCGAGACAAGCTTGCTAACCATTACGCCACCTCGAGGTGCCCAAAAAATGATTTTCTAAGCGTAGCTTCGATGTGGCATAAGGCCAAATATATGGAGCACCTAGTGAGGATCGAACTCACTTTTCAGTCATAGCTGATCTAGAGAGAACAGCTTGCTAACAATTACACGACCTAGAGGTGCCTAAAAAATGATTTTCTAAGCTTAGCTTAGATGTGGTACAAGGCCGAAATTATTGAGCACCTAGTGAGGATCGAATTCACTTTTGTCGTTACTGATTAAGCGAGACAAGCTGGTTAACCATTACATCATCTCGAGGTGCCCAAAAAATGATTTTCTAAGCCTAGCTGTGGCGCAAGGCCGAATGTTTGGAGCACCTAGTGCGGATCCAACTCACTTTTGTCGTAACTGATCTAGCGGTGTGTCCTCTCATAAATCGTATTACTCGATCAACATGATCGAATAAGACGATTTGATACATCTGCGTTTTCTTTACATCATACAGTGATCACTCGATTAATGCGAATTCGATTAATGCGTTTCCGATTAGTGCGTTAAAATATGTATATACCAAATTTCGATTAGTCCATGCATAATACTCGATTAGTGTGTTATGCCATTCTTCAATTTAACCATAGTAGTTAAAAATTGATTTTTTTATAGTTACCGATTAGTTAAAAATTTTCTGAATTTTAAAAACGGATAACTATTTTGTTTGTCAAGTATTACGTTATCTCAGTAATTACAGTAGCGTTGAAACAAAAATGGACGCTCTGAATAGATAAATTTTATAATATAAGCCGATAATAAAAATACACATTTTAATATTTGTGTCTATTAAAATGTTTTGAAAATTTTAATTTTTTTCATTTTTATTATGAAGGTTTTAAAAGCATATTTCTGATTTTTTGTTAAAAATTATGGACGATTTAATTAGATAGATAATTTACATATATCAAAAATTATCAAAATATAAAAGATATGCCAATTTACTATAGAAAGATTACAAATAAATTTTTCTGGTTAAAATACTAATGATTATGATATGTTTTGAAAACTTGAAGTGACAATTCTCAGTACTGCCAATTATATGAAGAACCAAAGAATACAATGCGGCAAACCATTCTAAATAAGTTTTTCATAAAAAATCAGATTAATAAACATTAATTCATGGCATTTTTATTGTATCTTCTTACATGTACCTATATTTTAATTTAAAAGTACAAAAATTGTAAATTAATTGTGAATGAGACTAAAATTTGAGCTACAACTTACATAATTTCCTATAAGTTATTATATTCAATTAATGCATTTTCGATTAGTGCGTATCTTTTAATGTACACATTAGTCGCACTAATCGAGATATTCCTGTATATGACTGAAGACAAGGTGAGAGTTATTTTAAATTAGTTCCGGATAATGGATAGCGGCTCGGATTGAGGAATCGAAGAGCCGAGTTCGATTTCCAGTTGAATCCATTACATTCACTTATGAATCATCCTCTTCCCCCCCCAACTATGTGAAAATAATAGGACAGACAGGGTTCTATAGGCTTTGATGGCAATTGCTCTACCGCAGAAAGAAATGGCAACCTACTGTGCGAAAAAAATCTGCCTCGTCAGTCATGTATCAAAAGATAAATGATCGCTGAAGCGTGTATCACGCACGGTACATAACTGAAGTTAAGATGATCAAATTTCAGATCAAAATGGACTGTCTTTTTAATTTACTACATTTTTTAGAATATATATTCAGTTGAAATACAGAAAAAAATGAATTTAAATTTCGCGTTAGACGCTTTCCTAATTACTCTCTGTTTGCGACGAGACATTGTGCTTTGAGCCAGAAATGTCCGCTTCGATTTCATTCAATCTGAGTGTAGAGACTTATGAGTGAGCATGAAAATTTTAATTTAATGGCACCCCAAAATATTTCTGAGAAATTAAAAAGAATAACACAAAAGATTTATATTGATTAACGAATTATTTATGAAAAGTTCAATAAAATTTATAATTATTTGATTTTTCTTTTTTGTATTCTATCACTCAGCTCAGGATAAGGATTGTCCAGACTGAGCATGTGGAGAACGTATTACTCCAAGGTTGTATTTCAAATAAATTCTGTGTTTATGTGTCACTACTGGTGTATATATTAATGGTAAAAGCACATACAGAATCATAGGCAGTCGGTGTGATTGAAAATGAATCATAAGATTTTTTATAACATGCGTCATATGAGTCAAACAATATATCGAGATTTATTCAGTTAGCTTCTGAAAGGTTTTCGGAATGAAACACTTCCCGAAATTTGATCAAATAACCAAATATCTTTTTATAGTAAAAGTTTTGGTCAGGCTGATAACTTTTCATCCTCTTCTTGTATTTTTAATCATATGAATCGTAAAAGTAACTTCCATTTTTTTTCTTTTATTTCAACATTTATATATATATATATATATATATATATATATATATATATATTCTGAGCATTTAGACAACATTTTATCGTAAAAATAATATTATTTTTTAAATTTTAAATTGAATATGTTTAAATTAATGGAAGGAATGGACAAACAACACGATGGAGAATAAGACTGATGAGAATGAACTGATACGAAATATTCCATATGCATTGTAACCCCAAAGAGAACAATCTATCAGCGTTGATTTAATAAAGCGTCTCGTTCAATATTCCTGGAAGTTTACCGTGTACGACGGCAGACAACTATAGAAGACTGAAGAAAGTCTTCACAATTTTATAGCAACACAGTTTTCTTTGGCGTATTTAGTTGTTTTTTTTAAATTTTATAATGATGTTCACACATTACAAGGCCTAAGATTTACAGAGTAAGTGGCAACACCCCAAGCAAGGCGTTAATATCATATATATAAGATACAGGGGGCAACCGGAATTGAAAGATAAGGAATATACTTCAGAAGGAACCGGAAACTCAATCCTATACAAGAAACAATGGATACACCTCTACTTCTGTTCAAAAGATCAGGGAGGAGCGTGAACCGGATGCAGGCTTGTGCCGTAAGAAACATTTTTTTACAGTAAGGTTTACACTGTACAAATCCCGGGGATGAGAACACTCGACATACAGGTTTACGTTAGGTAGTTTATATGGATATGAGGAGAAGTTAACGGTTAACTTTAAACTTGAACAGGTTAAGATTGTAGTGGTCGGAGAAACATCCTCTTGGGAGTCTGTTCAACAGAGCCGTGAAAGAAGCGAGAAGTAGCTGTTCGAGTGGAACTTACTTCTCACCTATGGAATACGGAGCGAATGTGGGAGGGTGGTAAAATGTAAGTGTCATGGCGGATCCTAGCCGTGAAGGATAAACCTGGTGGAACCAAGAAACGTGTTAATAAAGCAATATTTTTTGATTTAGTGAAGTTTCTCGGTTTACATTTTTCTTATAAAAAAAAAGAAGGAAAAAAAATTATATTGCTTTTAGCCATTTAACAGAAAATATTTTTCTTCTTTTGAAGGTACCCCCTTTTCTGATGAAAAAAAAGCGACACGAAGGAGGTGAGCCCCTTGTCGGCAATGCTCGTTTCGAAGGTTATGTCGTTGACCTAGCGGCAAAGATAGCCGATCAGTTCCCGATGGATTACATCATCAAAATCGTCGCAGACGGGCAATACGGCGCCCTAACAGTGAATGGAACGTGGAATGGCATGATGGGTGAACTAACCCGTCATGTAAGTAAAAGTTTACTCTCTCGCAAAGTCTTAAATTCACACAGTGAGGCACATCTAATTATAACACCTGAACGAATATATTTATATATATATATATATATATATATATATATATATATATATATATATATATATATATATATATATATATATATATATATAGCATAATGAGGAGCCACGTATACTTTCTTAATATGTATATATAGAAAAAGTTTCAAATTAAAAAATAATAATGTTTTATTTTATGAAAGTATTTATTTATTTATATATATGTTTGATATTTCAAATTGTCCTCAATTTTTCATCAGAAATAACTTTTTTTACAAATAAATTATTTTTACTGTTTGTTAGCAAAAAGCGTCCTTCGTGATAATAGTTACGTCAATTTTTTTATATTATAGTAAATTTTTTTTTTTTTAAACAACATTTAAAAAATATTTATGACAGTTAGATTTTTTTAGAATATCCGAACAGTGACGTTCCATATTACAAAGGACGCTTTTTTTTTAACAAACAGTAATTTTAATTTATTTGTAACAAACAGTTATTTCTGATGAAAAATTGAGGACAATTTGAAATATCAAATATATATATAAATAAATAAATACTTTCATAAAATAAAACATTATTATTTTTTAATTTGAAACTTTTTTCTAGGGTGATTGAAAAGTAACTCTCTACTTTATGTATGACTGGCCAGCCAAGAGTCCTGACTTAATAACATGTGGCTTTTATTTTGGTATTAAATTAGCAAGTCCACTATATCAAACCAAGACTGTAAAACCTTGAAGGGCTAATACAAGAAGTTATGTCTTCCATACCATAAGAGTTCCTGGCGAAATCAGTTGACACGTTCCCTGGGTGGCTCGTGAAGCTGGGAACGACTTCTGATGCCCATATCGAATGTAAAATAAAACCACATGCTTTCCTTCCACATCTATTACTTGCAAAAATTATAGTTAATAACTAAATTATAAGTAACTAAATTACAAGTATTTAAAAATGGGTACTTACTTTTCAATCACCCCATATATATATATATATATATATATATATATACCACGACAGATTTTTATATCACTTTAGAAATCTTTTGTAGTGTATACTCGTATTTGACTAGAGTCTCCGTTTATTAATTAAACAGTGTATTTATTTATTTTCGTCTACCTATCTGAATGTTCAAGAAATCTTATTTAAAAAAAATACGTTCCTTGACAGGATTCGAACCTGCGTCCCTCTACGCGTAGGGATCAGGCTGGAATCTGCGTCCCTCTCAGGCAGAGGGAGCAAGTTCGAATCCTGCTAGAGAGCGTAAATTTTATAATTTAAGGAATGCGTTAATATGTAATAGGCTTACGGCTATATTATGTTGACACACCGGTTCTCATACGCTCACCGAAGTTAAGCAACATCGACCCTGGTCGGTACCAAGGTGTGTGACCGCTTGCGGATACCAAGTGCTGTTAGCTTGGATATAGGAGAGGTTTAATGTATAACGACTCGGAAGGGTTTACATGGTGTGGAAGAATTAGGAACAGAAACAGTAATGAGGGATAAGAGAAAAGAGCAATCAGGAGGACAGTAGATAGCGATTGATATTGCATTTTTGCAGATTAAATTTGGCTGGAAAGCATGGAGCCGAAAGGTGGTTCCACAAGCGACAAGTTGATAAAATAAACTGGTAGCATAAAAGTTACGGCTACACTTGGCTAGTTCGACGGTAAATTGATGAGATCTCGTCGCCAGGCTAGTACTGCGCTTAAATTCATACAGTCTAGATGCCATAGCGAAGCGCTTATCCGAACAATTACCTTGAAAGTATTTATAAAAAAAAAGGTATAGTGAGGCAACCTTACGGCAACGGGCAAGTGACTGAAACCGAGCCGACAGGTGAGGACCAATAATATTGCTGATTCTTAATTGGATCTTGTCAAGGAGCCCTAGGTAAATATCTGGGGCACCGGAACATATATGACAGCAATATTCTGAGCATGGACTAATGGTAGATAGATTCTGGAGAGAATTATCTTGCCCGACACCGTGAACTGACTTTCATAGCAGCTTACCTAGCAATGGATTCAATAGTCTTTCCTTTTCGTGTCAGCTGAGAACGTTAGCCTGTGAAGGTGCAATGAGTCATTTTCCTGGAGGATAACATCAGTCATGCTGATGGAGGACAGAGAGGGGCCTCTCGGGTGATTAATAGAGAGAACTTTAGGTTTGGAGGCATTAAAATTGACAAGCCATTTTTTGTCCCAGTTAACAGGCTCGTTTTGTACATCAGCTGGTATTTTGACTTTGTCGGACTGATAAGCCTTACTATCAAACTAGGAGCAAACGTACACTATTTACATTATTCGGACTATTGTCCTCATCTTTGTCGCCATATTTATTACAACATTTCGGTCATTGTACGCTCCGGCCATCTTCAGGTGGTTGGATTGTCGAACTGAACCCTTTACTTCGCTCATTGAGGTAGGCTGTTCTAGTTCCACCAGTTATCTCCTGTTTGAGATCATAGACAAAGAACACCATTGGAAAATTTCGTAAACTTAAGGAATCGACACATATGCTAGGCCATAAAAATCTTCTGAGCCAACCAAGCATAGAAATGAACCAGTAATAAGGTGTGTCAGAGAAAAGCGATAATAACAACAAAAATTGAAATATGAGCTCTGGTAAAAACATAGAATGATAGCATCAAAAACTGCAATATGACCGCTGGTAAAAAAATGGTTGCTGAGACATTAGCTTTATAATACCCAGAAATGCATACAGATACACATGGCACAGTGGATAAAAGCGTTGTTTAGATCCAGTGACAGGACCCAAAGAGTGTGAGTTCAATACCCGGTTAAGGCAATGGAGAACTTGGAGATGGGAATTAACAGGAGATAACTGATAACTGACATCCATTAAACATGGCACGTGGAACTAGAACAGTCTACCCCAGTGAGCGAAATAAAGGGTTCAGTTCGACGTTCCAACCACCTGAAGAAGGCGGGAGCGTACAACGGTTGAAACGTTGTAATAAATATGGCGACAAAGATGAGGACAATAGTGCGAATAATGTAAATAATGTACATAATACCTTATCTCAGAAATATAGACAGGTACAGGAGTAAATGGTATTGTCGTCAGCGTAGATGCCAAGTTGAGAGCTGATGCCATTGGGAAGGTCGTTAATGAAGATTAAAAACAGCGTTGGTTCAAGGATGGAGCCCTGGGGAATACCCGCGTTACAACGAAAGGATGTAGAGGCGTGGCCGTTCAGGACAACTTTCATTTTGATAGGAACGATTGGATCAGCTCAAAAATCTGCCCGGAGATCCCGTAACATTTTCAAAATGCCAGACCTTGTCAAAGGTTTTCGAGATGTTCAATACTACAGTCCGGGCTTCACCTTTTTTTTTTCATCTATAGCTTGATAGACTCTTTTTGCAATTATCGTTAGCACATCAGCAGTTGACCTGGAAAAACGAAAGCTATATTGCTTGTCTGAGAAACGGCCCTGTGATGAAAAATGATGAACCAGTTCGACAATGATTAGGGCCTCTAAGAATTTCCCCAAAAGAGGTAGAAGGCTAATAGACCGATAGTTGGATGGGTCGGACGGTTCACCAGGGTTCTTAAAATCTGGAACAACAGACGATGATTCCCAGCAGGCAGTAAAAAGCAGGAGACAACGAGATATTTATTATACAGTTTAGAGAGAACAGGAGCCAGTTCGGGTGCACTCTTCTTAATGACTATTACAGGGATACCATCAGGTCCACATGCTTTATAGGGATCAAGGATAAAGATCATAGCAGAGGCCATGTAAACGGTTATAAGCATATCACTCAGCAGATAATCAGTTCTAAGAGGGAAGTTATGCAGGGATACTCTTTACTGGCAAAGCATTCAGATTTATCAGCAGATGATGATAAAACATCAAATCGACAGAAGAGTGTTTTCGGAGTGGATAGAGACCTTGCACTTACTTAGTACTTTATTAGAGAAACGTCAGTAATAACGAGAGTCAAATTTGTTAGAGGCTATGTGATGCCTCATTCTCTCAGCACACAGGGACTTATTCCCGTCGTTATGTCAATTTACCCACGCACGCATGAACTCTCCCAGGTTTAAATAGGAGCAGGTATTGCCTTTTGGCGAGGGAAGTTTCCAGCAGCCAGCTCTGACAGTCGGACTGAACATTCTTGCTGTAACGCTCACGTATGTTTGTTTTGTATTACTCTTTCTGTTAATATATTTGTTTAACTCTATTTTTGTCTTTATTTCTGGCCCTAACAAGGCCACAAGAGTTATATTCTCTTACACATAAATACCCTTGGGGGAAAGGTATGAATCTACTTTTTCTCCCCGGCTATGGGTTAAATAGCAAGACATATTAGAAAATCATTATTATCTCCACAAAAATTCTGCTTTAAATAAGCTGAAAAATGTAGATTAACCGTAAAAAAATACAAAAAAAAAACAAACAAATTAATCAAACTAAACATTTTCCACAAATACTGGTGACATTTATTCAAAATTCGACTTTAATTGATTATTGGAATGTTCAGAATTTACGATGTTATTATTTATTCGGATTTTTGAGAATATGCTATTTTCGTGAGTATTTGACTGTAAATAAAACTGGAAGAATAAGCCAAAGAAAACCAACGATAAAAACAAGACACTGATAATTAATCATTGAAACTGGAAAAATAGGATGACATGTTAAATGATCATAGTTTGTCGCCTGAATGTAATAAAACTTGTTTGTTTGAATTCTTGCTAAATATACTCTCTCTTTCTCGCTATCTCTCTCTTTCTCGCTATCTCTCTCTTTTCACACACACACACACACACATATGTATGTATGTATCGGCGACGCCATTCACAACGGAGTTAATCTTAAAGCCTGTCGAATCTAATGATGGTTTCTCCTGCAAGGAGGACGCACTTTAGGATCCTGCCAGGGGGCACATATGTGTTTCTTTAATATGATTCCTACAACATGCAAGCCGGGAGACGAAAATAAATATACAGTTTAGAATAAACCGAACGTCTACTTAAATATGGGTATCCACTAAATAACATTTAGAGCAATAAAGATCTGTCGAATTGAACAAATCCATTACTTCTTAAATTGTTATTTTTCTACGTTTGGATTCGATATTTCGAGAAACTTAGACGAGACGGACTGCGCTTAAAGGCGCTGTTCGGCCGTTCGTGGCCGAGTCGGTCTAATGTGCGCCGGATTTAACGATCATCTCTCCTGAATTTCCTTTTCGTATTTCACCCGTCTCTTTCTGATTGTAAGTATACGTTACCTTGAAGAAAGTATTTTCCCTAAAACTATTTGTTCCAGAAATTCTGCATGACTCTTTCTGATTCTAAGTCAGTCATGTGTCATGTGTGATACACGCTTAGGTGATCATGTATCTTTCGAGACAAGACAGATTTTTCCCGCGGTAGGTTGCCATTTCTTTCTGCGGTAGACGAGTTGCCATCCAAGGCTATAGAACACGGTCTGTCCTGCTATTTACCCATAGCTGGGATGAGAAGAAGTGGATTCATACCTTTCCCAAGGGTATTAGCACGTAAGTGAATGTAATGGGATCGACTGGAATTCGAACTCGGCTCTTCGATTCCTCAATACGAGCCACTATCCATTATTCTGCCGTGCCTTCTCAAGTACTTCTAAGTACACTTCCTAAAGGGGTAGTCATTAGGCCTGTGGGATGAAGGAAAATTGGAGCGTTAGATATCTGAACATCGAGAGGCGGGAAGACGTCACCAACGATCGGTCACGCTAGAGACACAATTTACACCGAAAGCTGGAGCGAGGAGAGAGAAACGAAGGCTTGCCGCCGAGAAGCAGCTTGCATCATCCGA